CCCCATCTTCCACTCCCTCTGCCCGCTCCCACATCCCCCTGTCATGCTCGTGCATATCGTCGTGCAAAATCGGACGCGCTTCCAACCCATCGAATTTGAGTTGTTCCACCTTCGTGGATTGGACGATTCTATTATCTGCAGAACGAGCACGGCGAAAAACGAATGGATGCGAGATCAGGAACAAAACGGAACATGCAGGCGTACGGGTTGAGGAATACAGCGAGCCTGACTGGCACAACAAAAAGCCTCATAAATAACTGGGGTGGGGTGAGAGAAACAAATGTCGAAAGCGAGCGGTAAGAAACCTAGCAAAAAGACGGCCGAGGTGGTGCGTAAACCAAGCTCCTGCGCATTCGGAAGGAGTTTCGGAGGCAGGGATGGAGGAGCCACACATTAGACGTCACGGCGTATCGTGACGTGGGCCCTGGGGTCTCCTGGCCCCGACCTCGAGGTGTGGTTGATGGATCGCTTGGATTGTCCTGGGGCCCAGAATGGCGTTCAAAAGAACCCACTTACAGTCGGCCCGTATCATAAGGATGCGCGATAAGGATGCAAGGGGCCCTGGACGCCCGTTTCGAAGTCTTTCGAGCGGGGCGCGGCCAACGGAAGTGGCGAAGGATGGACAAAGAAGGCAAGGATGCTATGGTACTCTTGGGAAGGTTGCCGATCCTTACACGCCAGTCGGAAGAAGTAGGTAAATACATGAAGTAGGAAGGCGGATAAAGCAGATTGGGTTCAGGCCCTCCCAGAGAATAACAAAACGCAGCAGAAGCATACTCCAGATTTCGTAATAAAAGGGAGGGGGTCTGGACCCTCCAAGACAAGCCATTTCAGACCTCCCCCGTGGGAGAACCCTCCAAAACATCGTCCCCAGACCCCCCCAGGCCCTGCAAGATAGCCTGGCAGAGACCCCCCCCCGAAATGAGACCCCCCTCCCTTTATTACGAAATCTGGAGTATCGGTTGTTGAAGTAGGAAGTCGCTTGAAAAAGATTGGGATCTGGGAGAGAGCGTGATCCACAGCCGCTTTACTGTGGAAAATTCCCCCCCCTCTTCCTCCGGAACCCGGGGGGTCCCCCCTCCCCTCCCCGGAAATTAACCCAACCATGCTGGAAACCCCCCTCCCCCCCCCCTCCCTCCCCCGGTCAAATCCCCTTCTTCAATACACCTCCCCCCCAATCTCCCTCAAGGACCGGGGGGCAAACCAGTTCGAACCCCCCCCCTCGAAAACCGGTGGGGAGGGGCGTCACTACCGGTTCGACCCCCCACCCCCCCACGCACCGCCAGCAAACGACTCCCGGTCCCTACCACCGCTCGCATCACATCCCCCACTGTTGTTCCCAGCACCACTGTCCTCACCACCACTGTCCCCACTGGTTCCACCACCGCCCCTACTGTCCCCACCAGTGCCACCACCACTGTCGCACTGTCCCCACTGTCCCCACCACTGTTCCCACCACGGCTCCACTCTCCCCACTTTCTCCACGGCCCCAACCACTGCCCGACTATCCCCACTGTCCCCCCCCCACTGTCCCACTGACTCCTCCGCTGTCCCACTGAGCTGTCCCACTGTTCCCACCACTGTCCCCACTGTCCCCACCACTGTCCCCACTGTACCTCTGTTCCATTGTCCCACCGCCGTCCTCGCCACCGCCTTCACCACTGTCCCCACCACCACTGTACCCTCCACTGTCCCACTGTTTCCACCACATTCCCACTGTCCCCACACCACTGTCCCCACCACCACCGTCCCCACCACTGTCTCACTGTCCCCACTGTTCCCGCCATTGTCCTCACCACTGTCCCCACCACTACCGTCCCCACCACTGTCCCACTGTCCCCACCACTGTCCCGCTGTCCCCTCACCACTGTCCCCACCACTGTCCGCACCACCACCAGTCTTCGAGGGGGGGGGGGTTCGAACCGGTAGTGACCCCCCCCCTTTTCATGATGGACTGCGGGGGGGGAGGGGTTCGAACCGGTAGTGACCCCCCCCGGTTTTCCGGAGGGGGGGGGGAGAGGGGTTCGAACCGGTAGTGACGCCCCCGGTTTTCCGCCAGCAGCGGTAGAACACGCTCTTTCGGATCTTGGGATCCAGAAATGCATACTTTCAACGACTGGTGTGTACTGCGCGGGCTGACTGTGCACAACAACGGGCCGTGGCGATGCCTGACGCCAGGGCTTCAGGGGAGCGACTGGGCGAAGGGCAGCGCACCCGTGCGAGAACAGGAGAGATGCCGATGCGGGCGAGCATGCCTGAATCGGCGACTACAATGGGTGCGGTTTGCGAAGGGTGCGGTTTGCCTCCCGTCATACCTGCCCCTCCCGCCCCCGGGAAACGGATGACACTGTCACTCAATGCGACCGAATCACATGACACTGTCGCTCCTAATACAACGGAGCACACATCGAGGATGACAGTGTCGCTCGGAACGACGACAATTATGACAATGTCTCTCACAAAGGCCCCGGAAAGGCCGCCACAAAGCAACTCCCAAACCGCACCCTGGCGTAACCGCATCGATTGTAGTCGCCGACTGAAGGCGCTCCACGGTGCACCCGCGGCGGAAGCCGAAGCCAAAAAGCCGACGAGCACAAACGAGGAACGGTGCAGAAGAGCCCAGAATCGAGTCTTTGAGAGAGCGTGATCCACCGCCGCATTGCTGTGGAAAATTCCCCCCCCCCTCTTCCTCGGGAACCCGGGGGTCCCCACCCCCCCTCCGGAAATCGCACCCCCTACTCCAACCCCCCACCCCCTCCCTGGCAAGAACACCCCCCCCCCCCCTGGAAGACAGCCGGGGGTCACTACTGGTTCGACCTCCCCCTGGAACCCACTGTTCCCACCACTGTCCCCAGTCCCCAGCAGTGCTCCCACCACTGTCGCAATGTCCCCACTGTCCCCATCACTGTCCCCACCACGGTCCCACTCTCCCCTCTGTCCCCACTGTCCCCACCACCGTCCCCACCGCTGCAACACTGACCCCACTGTCCGCAACCCTGTCCCAACGTCGCCACCTTCCCCACCGTTGTCCCACTGTCCCCACTGCTCCCACCACTATCCCCCTATCCCCATTGTCCCCACCACTGTCCCCACTGTCCCATTGTCCCACCACCGTCCTCACCATCGCCCCACCACTGTCCCCACCACCACCGTCCCCACCACGGTCCCCACTGTCCCCACTGTTCCCCACACCACTGTCCCACACTGTCACACCACCGTCCCCACCACTGTCCCACTGTCCCCACTGTCCCCACCACTGTCCCAATCCCCACTGTCCCCACCACTGTCGCACTGTCCCCACTGTCCCCACCGCTGTCCCACTGTCCCCACTGCCCCCACCACTGTCTCACTGTCCCCACCACTTTCCCCACCACTGTCCCCACTGTACTACCACCGTCCTCACCACCGCCCTCACCACTGCCCCCACCACCACCGTCCTCACCACTGTCCCACTGTCCCACTGTCCCCTCACCACTGTCCCCACCACTGTCCCACTGTCCCCACCACTCTCCCCACCACTGTCCCCACCACTGTCCCCACTGTCCCCACCACTGTCGCACTGCCCCCACTGTCCTCACCACTGTCCCCACCACGATCCCACTCTCCCCACTGTCCCCACCATTGTCCCAGTCCTCACCCCCCACCACCATCTCCACCACCGTCCCAACCACTGTCCTCACCAGTCCCCCATCCAGAGTGGTGGGGGAGGAGGGGGAGCCGTTTGCCGGCGGCGAGGAGGGGGGGGGGTCGAACCGGTAGTGACCCCCCCTTTTCATGAAGGACCGGGAGGGGGGGCGGGTTTGGAACCTCCTGGTGTTCTGCCAGCAGCGGCAGAACACGCTTTTTCAAATATTTGAAGCCCGAAATGAGTACGGAAAGAATGGGTACAATGCCCAATAACAAATGTTGTTCAAAAACGACAGCGGCTGCTGTTGGGCAGGCGGCTTTCTGTCTTCAGTGTACAACGTCCGCGGCGGCGCGGACAGCGAGTCCTGTTCAAAATGAACAAGAACTGCTGTTAGGAATCGTACCCACTATTTCGGTACCCACATTCCGATCGTCCCGAACATCGATAAGTCGGATCGGCGATCGACATGAACCGGATCAACGGAAATCGGCAGGAAGGTCGGGAGACGCCGCATCGGCGGAAGTCCGCAGGCGAACAAGACCACCATGGAGGAACCGAAATCGACATCCAAATCGGGATTCGGAGCCGAATCGGGTCGGCATCGGGTCCGATCGACGGCATAAAGGGCACTTTCTAAGCGGCCTTTTTCTCAGCTGCGGTCAGGGAGGAGGAGGGGGGAGGGACGGCTCCTTCCTCTGTCCTCCTTCCCCCTCCTCCAGCGCCGCGGCAGATGCAGGCGCGCCACACCGCGCAACCCGTATTAGATCTGCGAGGGAGCGGGTTCCATGCCATTCACCCATCGCATCCACGAGTGCTGTGGACAACAGAAGACAATGCAACAGTGAGATAATCATATGTACATTGATCCGCCACCGTGCCTGAGGCCACGAAATGGAAATTCCTCCAGGTCCCCCGTAATTCTGTAGCGCGTTCGAAGGGCTCGGCCTCGGCCATGGCCCCCGAGAGGTGAAGCGTCAGCTCCTCCTCCTCCCCCTCCTCCTCCTCCTCCTCCTCCTCCTCCTCCTCCTCCTCCTCGGGGCGACAAGGCGCCCGCCGCCGCAGCGCCGGCCGCGCGGTGTTCGGGGGGGGCGCTCAGGACGCGACCTGGAGCCGAAGTGGCCTGCGGCGGGTCGTCGGCGTGGAACCCCCAGGAAATCCCTTGTGCCTCTCAATGGGACGCACAGCGGCATACTGAGGCGCGCATCCAACCCGAACATATAGTATACCCATCTTGTAGTACATACTTTCCCGAGCGGTGTGGCCAGAAAGCGCCCGCCACGACACTTATACAATAAGATTTATGGGTGCGCGCGTCGCCCCTCGGGGGGCGACGCACATATAGTCGGAGGTTGGGGGGTGAGTCCGACGTGAAACGGAGACCCCCCCTACCAGGAATTCGATTTCGGTTTCGGGTTCGTGTCGTGCGTGCCATGCGTGCGTGCGGGCGAGGCGAAGCTGCGTGGGCGGGCGAGAGGAAATCCTGCTGTGCCTGGACCTGCAGCCGGACCAACTTTAACTCCTCCAGCAACCGGTGCCGCGCGGTGTCCCGCCGGTGTCCCGAAATCCTCCTGTGGCTGGGCCGCGGCCAGACCAAATGATTCTCTTCCGGCGGACGGTGCCGCGCGGTGTCCCGCCGGTGTCCCGCGGTGTCCCGTGGTGTCCCGTGGTGTCCCGTGGTGCCCCGTTGAGTAGGATAGATCGTGAGATCGATAGTGAGATCGATATTGAGATCGACAAGTAGCCCGTGGTGTCCCGTGGTGGCCCGTGGTGTCCCGTTGAGTGAGATCGATAGTGAGATCGATACTGAGATCGACACTGAGATCGACAAGTGTCCCGTGGTGTCCCGTGGTGTCCAGTGGTGTCCCGTTGAGTGAGATCGATAGTGAGATCGATAGTGAGATCGACAAGTAGCCCGTGGTGTCCCGTGGTGTCCCGTGGTGTCACGTGGTGTCACGTGGTGTCCCGCTGAGTGAGATCGATAAGGAGATCGATACTGAGATCGACAGATATCCCGAAGTGTCACGTAGTGTCCTGTTGAGTGAGATCGATAATGAGATCAACAGGTGTCCCGTGGTGTCCCGTGGTGTCCCGTTGAGTGAGATCGATAGTGAGACCGATACTGAGACCGAGAGTGAGATCGAGAGGGGTCCCGCGGTGTCCCGTGGTGTCCCGTGGTGTCCCGTGGTGTCCCGTGGTGTCCCGTTGAGCGAGATCGATAGTGAGATCGACAAGTGTCCCGTGGTGTCCCGCGGTGTCCCGAGGTGTCCCGAGGTGTCCCGAGGTGTCCCGTTGAGTGAGATCGATACTGAGACCGTTAAGGAGATCGATAGTGAGATCGACAGGTGTCCCGTGGTGTCCCGAGGTGTCCCGTGGTGGCCCGTGGTGTCCCGTGGTGTCCCGTTGAGCGAGATCGATAGTGAGATCGACACTGAGATCGACAAGTGTCCCGTGGTGTCCCGTGGTGTCCCGAGGTGTCCCGTTGAGTGAGATCGATAGTGAGACCGATAGTGAGATCGATAGTGAGATCGAGAGGGGTCCCGCGGTGTCCCGTGGTGACCCGTGGTGGCCCGTGGTGTCCCGTGGTGTCCCGTTGAGTGAGATCGATAGTGAGATCGATAATGAGATCGACAAGTAGTAGCCCGTGGTGTCCCGTGGTGGCCGGTGGTGTCCCGTTGAGTGAGATCGATAGTGAGATCGATTGAGTCAGATGTTGGTTCCCCCCCTCTCCCCCCCCCCACACACAACCTCCTTATCACCCGAAGGGTGGTCGTATAGGTATAAGTATGTTGGGGTGACGCCGATATCAAGGGCTTGGGGGCCTCCTGAAGCCTCCTGACCCTCTTGAGGGCTCCTCTGGGGGCCTCCTGCGGGCTTCTCGAAAGCCTGACGGCCGATGGTCCCTTCTTGGAGCTGCAGCTGGCTCACGGCCGACAATTCGCCGCAGCGGTCGGACAATTCTTCGACAATTCCCTGACAATTCTCGAAAGAACTGTCACCGAAATGTCGGAAAACTGTTGGACAACTGCTGGCCAACTGTCGGAGCACTGTGCTCCAGAAAACATTTCTCCAGAGAGTTGTGGGGGAATTGTTCGAGAACTGTCGGAGAACTGTTGGAGAACTGTCCGAAAGATCGCTTCAAGACGCCGAAGATGGTCCCAAGATGGCCCAAGATACCTCCAAGACGCCCAAAGAGGCCTCCAGGAGGCTTCCCAAGAGGGCCTGGAGCAGTCCGGCACAAAGGTGGGGTCAGCAGTCGGGACTCAACAGACGGGGGTCAATGCAATCGGGTGTCAGCCAGAGCGCTGGATCTTGCAGGATCCTGCAGAGCCAGGTGTGCATTGACGCAGGTTTGAGTGCAGGATCCTGCAGGATCCTGAAGGATCTTGCGGGATCCTGCAAAGCCTGGCTGACCTGGGTCTGGATGGACCGGGGTCAGTAGATCCCCGAGGCAGCTCCGGTCGCGAGTCTTCCTCGACGTCGGATGTCGGGGGGGGAAGGCGGGGCTGTCGAGGATGCCATCGATTTTCGACGCTACCCGCCACTGCTTTCGCAAGGCCTCGCTCGATGTGCTTGCCTCTGAGGCCGTCCTGGCGCGTCGGGACGCCGAAAATGTGAGAACCCCCCGAACCATCGAAAAGCAATGGAAAAACTCTGGTGGTTGTTGCTTGGGGCCAGAGTGCTCCTCGAGCAGGCCCTGGGAGCACCCGAGGAGATCCCTAGACGGCCCCGCGGGGGCCTCGCCGAGGCCTCGGAGGTCTCCTGGAGGCCTCTCGCGGGGGCCCAGACAGGGCAGAACGCATCCAGAACCCTCGATCACCAGCCTCGAGCAACGCGCTCCGATATAGCCCGTCATTCCATAGTCGATCCTTCGTCCAAGATCCTCGATCTCGGACCTCGATCCTCGAGAGGAAGTCTCAAGACCTGGCGCGCTTGTACTTATCTTTCTCAGCGCGCCCAGATGATTGGGGGGGGATCGCGGCACGGCCTGGTCGTTGTCCCCATGCACCACGGCCACGAACTTATCCTGTGCATCGTTAGGGGGGGAGGAGGGGCGGAGGGAGGAGAGGAGAGCAGATGATCAGGGAGATGGAGGAGGGAGATGACTTGAGGTAATATGGCGTTGGGGCGCCTTGACTCCGTTAGTGGGCCCAGTTCCCTGGAGCCACCACCCTGAAGGGCACGGTGGCTCGATGGTGCGAATAGTCAGTGTCTGTGGTCCAGACCGCACGGAACGATATGGTTCTGGGCTAGAAGCCTGCCAGAGTCGCAGGAAGGCCGCAAGCGGGTCAGGAGGGCACCCAGGGCGGTCACAGGATGGCCCAAAGTGAAATCGTCAGAGTAGATCTGCCCGAGCAGCAGAAAGGCCTCCAGATGGTCACACGAGGATCCAAGTCGGTCACAACATGACCCATAAGGCAGATCTACAGCATACAGTTGAGCCGTTGGAAAACGCCACGCTCGGGTGTTTAGCAACTCGCAAACCAGGGTGTGTGTTCACTCTGCTCTTTGTGACGAACGATTGTGTAGCTGGACCTTGGTGCACAACGGGCACACCATAAGATTTGTTGATCGCGTATGGCCGTGAAACACGCGTCTGGATCCCACGGAAACGGCAAAATTGGTGTAGCAGATGCACTTGAAAGCTAAACAAAGCAGTAATGTACTTCAGAATGGTACTTGGGGCTTGTTGGTAGGTGCTCAAGTGATTGCGGGTGAATTCTCTTATCGGCCTCGCGGCTGGGACAGAGATAAATAAAATTGCCCCCCCCCCCTCTGGGAGGGGGAATTGGGAAGGCGACGAGTGGAGCAACGAAATTGGCACGAAGTTTGGTGCCACGCCATCCTTCCAAGGATGGACTTGCATTCCCCAAACTATACGTGCAATTGCCTGCGGATGGGCCAGCACGCCCAAAAGCTGTCTTGCGCACGAGGCCGCAACTTCGCCCCCCAACAGCCATCGAACATCCGTGAAGGGGGGATTGAGCAATTTCTGATAGAGTATGGCGAGATTGACGGGTTAAATTCCAACATAATTACCTGTGACAAATGAGCGACGAACAAGAAGGGTCTTATACGAGATGACGCAGCGACCTTACGCCGTGGCGGCGGCTGCAGAGGAGACGAGGGCGCTTACGCGCGACCCTGCGTGGACAGCTTACGCGCCAATGTCGGCGCAGACGACCCCGTCTTCTTGTGCCGCTCATATAATTTCTGGTTGTGTGACTCATTGAGCTTAAGGGCAATGCTGTTCGTAGAGGTTCCCAGGAAGCTGAAACGGACAATGCGGGATCTGACAGACCTGTGCAAAGTACGCGATGGCATAAGCAAGCAGACATGGCCAGCACGCCTGGTTATTGGTTGGCGTGGGCATGAGAACTCTTCTATGTGCGAGGAGGTTTCGCGCCAAGGGGCCGCTTTTCGAATCATCTGGTTGGAGACCATTGACGCCCCTTACGGCCCGAACCACCAGGTTAAAGACCATCGTAATCCCTTCAGGCCCTGCCCTGGGGCCCCAAGGATGGAATGCCCTCTCCGATGCAGCCATGCAGCTGCAAGGGGGAGAAAGTAGGATGTCGGTTGCGATGGGTGGGGGCGCGGCAAAGTAGCTCCGAACTGGTGGCTCCGGCTGCGCCAACGGTGCAACGTGAGGGATTTCTGAGAACATTGAAATGCCTTCCCTGGAACTCCAAGGCTGGAACAGCCTCTTCACCGCAGCCATGCAGCTGCACATGGAGATCGTGGCCAGATGGCTCCAACCTGGTGGCTGGCACTCCTTGCTGGCAGTGGCACTCCACCTGGGGCGTAGTGGCTGGCACTTGGAGCACCTGGACTCATGGAACCTAATCCCCCCACACCCCGTGCTGGACCGCTGGCCTTGCAGCCAGACTGCGTCCTTGAGGCAGCTTCCTTGCGACGGAGATATGTACGCAGAATCTGTGGATGCACGCGTGCCAGCACTGCCGCCAGCCAGCGACCAAGAAAGGACGAAACGTAGTGACCCGATGCGCTAGAGAGCGTGCAGGACCGCTGGCCTTGCCGTCAGACTATGTCCTTGAGGCAGCTGCCTCGAGTGTAACGGGGATAAGCTCGCAGAGTCTCTGGATACACAACACCTTGCATGGCCGCCAGCCAGCAATCAAAAATAAACGAACGATGGGGGGATGGTCCCCCGGGGTGGTCCCTGGGGGGTCCCATGGAGGCGGCCCCAGGGATCGTGACCCCTCCCCAGGCGGCCCCGTGAAAAGAGGCTGATCTCCATGTCGGCTTGGGAGGTCAAGATCCCTCGGCCCCGGCTCTGTCGGTGCCGCCGGTCCCGGCCCATGCTCCGGCAGCGGTCCCAGCCCTGGCGGCCCCAGCCACAGCCCAGCTCCCCGCCTCAGCCCCAGCCCCGGCCCCGGCCGGGGCCCCGGCCCCAGCCCCAGCCCCGGCCCAGGCCCCAGCCCCAGACCGGCCCCGGCTCGGGCCCCATGCAGCCCAGCCGCGGCCCCAGCCTCGGCCCCGGCCCCAACCCTGGCAATCGTCCCCGCCTTGGCCCCAGCTTCCCCCCTCGGCTTTCGCCTCTCAAACGCCTGCCTCCCTCAGTGGCAATGAGTCCTTTTGGGGTCCTATGAAGAGGGAGCTTGCAGGGAGTGTTGATTCAAACGTCGTTGATGAGTCTTGGGTTTACATTGGTCCTCCTCCTCCTCCTCCTCCTCCTCCTCCTCCTCCATATCATCCCCTGTCGCACCCCGAGGCCCGTCAGAAGGGCGGCCTGGGCGTTTCGCCTCACTCATAAGTCTCAAGCTGACAAACTGACAGCAGTTTCACAAATGGAGCGTGGGTGTTTTTTTTTTATGGAGCTCTCGCCTTACCGCCGCTCAGACTCGTTTTTTAAAGCTGCAAGAGCCTCATGGGTTGAGGGCGGATCGTTTTCAATATGTGGCTCTCGCCTTAGCGCCGCGCACGGGCGGGAGAAGGAGATGGAGGAGGAGGAGGAGGAGCATAAGAGGAAGAGGAGGAAAGAGGGAGCACGCTTCACGGGCGCATGAGTGCAAAACATTCCTCGACACATCGAAAACCGCCCCCCCCCCCAAAACCAACTCCTAAGCACCCTGCGATCCAGAGCCCCCCCCCCCTCAAACAGAGCCCCCCTGCCCAGAACGCCCCCCCCCCTGGCGCCAGTCGTCGTCGCTGTCGTTGTCTGGCGCCCCAGGGGGGGAGGGGGGGTCATTGTCGTCGCCGTTTGTCGGCGCCAGGGAGAGGGGGGCCATCATCACGGCGACGACGACGACGACGACGACGACGACGACGACGACGACGACGACGACGACGACACGACGACCACGGGCGGAACGTTCAGTCATAACGGATGGGCGGAGCATGAAATGTAGCCCCCACTTGTTGATGCGATAAGATTGAAACATAGACGACGAGAGACGACGCCGACAACGACAACGACGACGACGAAGTTGACGACGACGAAGACGACGACGAAGACGACGACGAAGACGACGACGAAGACGACGACGAAGACGACGACGAAGACGACGAAGACCACCGCGGGTAGAACGTTCAGTCGGGCGGGCGGGAGATAAATGTAACCCTTTCTGGTTGATGGGACAAAAGTGTGGTAAACGAGACGACCGCCGGGCGGGCGGGCGGGACCTTACATGCAACCCTGGCTGGTTGGTTGGACAAGGCTGGTTGCATTTATTGTCCCACCCGTCCACCCAACTGAACGTGTCCTGGCCGTCATCGTCGTCGTCGTCGTCGTCGTCGCCGCCGTCGTCGTCGTCGTCGTTTGCCAGCGCCAGGGGGGGACAACGATCAGTACCAGTGGGGGACCAGGGGGGAGTTACGACGACGACGACGACGACGACGACGACCGCTGGCGCCAAGGGTGGGTGGGGGCTGAACCAACCACCGTGCGAGGGTGTGTGTGTGTGTTTCGGGAGGGGGGGTCCTCTAGTTCCCTCAGGTCCAGGATGTCACCCTAGTCTGCGTCGACAACAGGGCGAAACAGGCACGGGGGGGAGTGCCAAGCTGGAACATCTACGTGATGGTGACCCCCGGGCCCGAGCACATCCCAACCAAAAGGCCGCCGAGGTCCCCGCAGACCGATCCACCAGGCGGTGATCATGGATGCATCCTGACCTCGGAGCGGGGGGGGGCTTAAGGCTTTGGGCCGGCGCGTAAGGCACACCCGCACAGTGCAGTGGGGTCGCGCAGGATGTGCAGCGAGACAGTTGGTCGTAGAAAAGTCTTCGATCACACAACATATCGACATGGTTGGGGCCAAATCTCTCCACTTCGTGAGTAGAGGCCTCCCAGATGGGGTCCGATCAGATGGGGTCGGAGGATAGCGCTGTATCGCCGATACATCGACGATGCCTCGGTGATGCCTCGGCGATGCATCGGCGATGCACCGGCGATGCATCGGCGACGCATCGGCGACGTCGGCGTGGAGAAATCGGGCTCCGCGTCGAGCATCGCAGATGCACTAGCGATGCGGCGCGGTCCTCCGACCTCATCTAATCGGACCCCATCTGGGAAGCCTGGAGTGAGGGGCCGCGCGGGGCGTCCTTGAGGGGCGGGGTGCTGCCAGAGGTGCCCCTGGACCTGAGCAAGCAAGCAAGCTTTGGCTCCGCGGCTGTGCATGTGCTCCTCCTCCTCCTCCTCCTCCTCCTCCTCCTCCTCCTCCTCCTCCTCCTCCTCCTCCTGGGAGGGGTCGCCGCGCGGGGCGTCCGTCGTGGGCTCGGGGCCGATGCGCAGCCCCGGGTAGTCGCGCCTCTGCGGGGGGGGGCGCCGCCGCCCCCCTCTGCGCGCCACGGGTCCCCCAGGACGGCGCGCCTCTCGGGCCCGCGGGGGCTGCGCCGCAAGGCTTTGCCTGCCTCGGCGCCCAGACGTCGAGTGGGGGATCGACTACAGAATTGACTTACCCCAGGAACTGGCTTTCTCGACGAGTGTACGACGAGTATGTAGACTTAGTTCGTAGGTGTGCGGAGCATTCTAAGATATTTCGTAGATTCAGCGAAGAGGTCGATTTGGGGGTCAATCAATCTTGTAGTCGATCCCCTACTCGAACACGCCCCCGCGCCCGCCTCGCGCCGCGCGGCGCGGAGTCTCCACCCTTTCCAGAGGGGGGGAGGGGGAGAGGCCACCAACTCTCTCCCTGCTGCACATGAGGCCACCGAATTTCAGGAGAGGGGGAGAGCGGAAGGGCCAATCAAAGGATGTCGCAGCGGTTACCCTCGACGTTCCTCCTCCTCCTCCTCCTCCTCCTCCTCCTCCTCCTCATCCTCCTCCTCCTGCCCTTCCTCCTCCTGCCCTTCCTCCTCCTCCTCCTCCTCCTCCTCCTCCTCCTCCTCCTCCTCCTCCTCCTCGACCCTCGACCCTCGAAGGTCGTGGGGCGTTTGCGGCCCTCGTCCGGCCTCCGCAGGCCCTCTGCCCTTGGAGGCCTCCGAGGACCTCGAGGGACCACCGGAGGCCGAGGCTCCGGGGCCGCAGCAGGACTTGCCGCAGCGGGGCGGAGGAGGCCAGGGTCAGGTCGGGCATGCCCTCCTACAGGCGAATTCTGGAAGAAAAACCAAGCATGTGAAACAGTACTCAAAAATAATCATCAGAAACAATGTTTAAAGAATACTCGTCCCCAGGCTATGTTTTGACCATGCTTGAATTTTCCTCCTGTAGAGGGACATGCCCGACTCAAAGCCAGGGCAGAACGTCGGCATGAAGGAGAAGGGTCCCGGAGGAAAAGATCTGACGAAAATCGGAGGTCCTTTTAGGTCTTCGGGACTTCGAGGAGCGACGTCGCCGCCGCCGCCACCGACTCCGTGGACGAGGCCGAAGACGCCGACGACGCCGATGCCGCCGCCGCCGCCGCCGACGACGCCGACGCCGCCGCCGCCGCCGCCACCGACCGACGACGACGACGACGACGACGACGACGACGACGACGACACGCCGCCACCGCCGCCACCGCCGCCCGCCGCAGCCGACGACGACGCCGACGCCGCCGCCGCCGCCGCCACCGACCGACGACGACGACGACGACGACGACGACGACGACGACGACGACGACGACGACGACGACGACGACGACAACGGCTCCAGCCCCAAGGCGGCTGGAAAGTTTTTCTGCATCCGTGCGGCGACCCGGGGGAACAGAAACCCTCCGAGCGCCCAGGAACGTCTTTTCGCCGCAGCGGCGAGGATCCACGCCGCGTTCGAAGGCAGCTGGGGGACAGTCGCCCTGGGTGGACCAGATGTAGGGGAACGAGCAATGACATAAGCATCAAAACTCGGAGGCCCGCGCGGACGTTTCGGATCGGCGCTGGACTCCCCTTCCCTGGCGCGCGGAGCGCGCCAGAGGCGGCACCGGAGGCGCCGCCAGTGGGCTCCAGGCCCATGTGACGAACGAACAACACACACCCATACCCATAGGAGGGTCGTTGGGAGGAGGACTGGCTATGGGTATGGGTGCGGGTTGTCGGACCCTGGGGAACGCTCCCGCTCGAACGGGGACCCCCATCCGACAACACGCACCCATAGCCCTCTCCGACCCCCCTATGGGTAATTATGGGTGTGTGTTGTTGGTTCGTCACCATCGGCACCACCCCACCTACGACCCCGCGATGCCGGCAGTGTGGGCACGTGCCCACCCACGACCACCTGCGGCCCACCCGAGCCACCACCCCCCCCACGGCCCAGCCACACAACCCAGGCACCGGTTCGCAGAGGCATTTGGCCATCATTATGAATGTATGACATTGCGATGCGATGCGATTCGATGCGACCCGCATTCCAGCCCCTATTGGGCGGTCCTCTGAGAGGGCAGGCGTATGGGACACGCAGTCCCGGTAACCGGGTGCATTGGAAGATGCTTACGTATCACAACTGTGGAAAAAATCAGAGAGAGCTGCATTCAAACGGGCATTCGTCAATTCATTGCGTGTGTCGAATTTGCAGTTAGCAGTCAGTGGCTCCAAGACTTCGATTCTCGATTCTCGTATCAGTGAGCTACAGCGTTTTGGTAATTCGATTGACGGATCCATGAAGCCAGCTAGCTTTGGACACTTCTTCAAAGGAGGTCGTAGGTGGGAGGCGTCGATTGCTTCTCTTGGTAGACTGGGACGGGCGCCCCCGGCGGCGGACAAGTTTACAGTCGGACCCAGGCCAGAAGAACATCCCTCACCAATACGAGACCCTCCGTCGGCCCAAACAAACGTAACATCCAAGGGTGCCCTCTCAAGGACGCACAAACACGTATCCAGCAAGCACGAAGAACACTAGGGCATCGCCCCCCCTCCCCGAACCGACCTCGATCTTATACCTCGAGGACGACGACGGGGAGGAGAAAAACGAGGAAGAGGAGGAGGAGCACGACGACGACGACGAGGACGAGGAGGACGAGGAGGAGGGGGAGGAGGAAAAGGACGAGGAGGAGGAGGAGGAGGAGGTATGGCATGGTATGGGTTTGCGCTAAACGACGGGTCCCACCCAAACACTCTGCCAAAATCCAGCTCGGACCCCGATCCACTCTCGCCAGCGCTGTCGGGACCGTTCCGTTCGAGGGCCTGGCGGTCGAGGTCTCGGACGTGTTCGAGCTCACCCTCCAAAAGCCCGAACGCCCTCAAAACCTCGGCCCGCCCACCACCGCTTCCGCTTCCGACCGCGACTCGACGGGCAAGGGGGCGGGGTTCGGGCGGCGGCCGCGCCTCCGCCTGGGACCCAAGGCTGACGCGGACCTGTGGGAGGACCCCGCGATGCCGTCCTACCTTCAAGCGGCGCACCTTGGCGCGGTAGGACGGGAAATCTCCCTTTTTAGTTCGTCGAAAATGGTCGGAACCTCCAACCTTCCTCTGTTCGGATCCGCGCCAAGTCACCAGACCTGGGGCCAGCTTCCCGTCGGACGAAACCGTCCCACATCGGAGACAAAACGCGACGGACAAATCTGGGGACGCTCGGACAAGGACGTCTGCCTGCAACAGGTTGTGGCCTCGCCACCAACAACTCGCAGCTGCGAGCTCCCCCCCACCCGTCACCAACCCCGTGCCCGCCCCCTGGAACGCTCGCCCCGGGCCCCCCTGGCCGTCGAACCTCGTCTGGGTCGGGTTCGGGGGGCTTGCGCTGCTCAGCGCCTGCAGGTGCCCCTGGGCCCTGGGGCCGCCAGTGAGCCTCCAAGCGGTCCTCGTGATCCTGGCCCTCGGATTCTGCGCGCACCGTCGCCGCCCATCTGGCAGCTTCTGAGGCGAGGCTCTTGAATATTCGCCACAACTGGAACTGCTCGTTCCCTACTCCGTGCTCAGCTCCTTCGAGCTTCGCAAAACGGTCGGCATGGGCGTCCCCTTTAAACCCCCACTCGGTTGTGACACCTTCTTCGACCTGGGCCCTGGGGCAACTGGCCTTGGCCTTGAAAACTTGCAGGCCCCCGTCGGGAAAAAGGCGCCCCAGACCGGGCCCCGGAGCTGGCCGCGCGGACAACTGATTTGGGTTCCTCCGCCAGCGCCAAGGCGCATGGCCCCAACAGCGCCTGCAAAGTCGATATATAGATCCGACGGAGCCAGCGCGCACACCCTGAGCATCGAGACTGCGTAATCTTCAGCATCTCGAGCTGTCCGCCTAGGGCGCACTTTCAAAATCACAGGGCCATGCGCCGCGGCCGCTAGATTCCCGAAGCGGTCGACTTGGGCCATAGCCAAGCCCGCGCGGGCCAGGAACGGGGCCCAGGATCAGAAGGCCGACCGTCTAAAAAGAACGGCTACGCAAGAGGATCTGACTCTCAGGATCTACGGGGGGAGGGGGGCAATCTCACGAGACGAGAACAACAGCCCTCGCGCGAACCGCCCGCCGACATCGAAGCCCCACTCCTTGACCCTGCGAGCCCTTCCCCCAAGGAAGCTGGGCACCAATTCCCGCCGAAGATGTTTGTGTTCGGAGCAGTCGTGCGCTCTGCGCAACAAGGGCCTATCGAGATCGCCACAGACACAGCGCAAGGGTGGAGGCGCACCTGGGCCCAGTGGCCTGCTGATGCCAGGGGCCTCAGTGTCCTCTGAAGTCTCGTGGTCCAGCTTCTGTTTGTCCGGCGCAGCAGCTCCTCCAAACCTGTCCAAACCATAAGCATGCAACACTCTGCGTCGACTCGGGGGCGCACGCCTGCCCGATGCCTGCCAGCCCCTGCGCAAGAGCTGGCGGCAAAACTCGCAGGTCAAGCACGCCCTGCCGATCCGCGACCACGCAAGCACCCGACCTCAGTGTCCAACCTATCATGCGGAGACTGAGAACAGCAGCATCAGCTGGGAAGGCGGCTCTTCTCCAAGGCGCCTGCGAGTCCTCCAGGTGGCCCAGGGCTCCTTCGAGGCGCTCTTCCAAGACCTGCTGCTTCGGAACAAACTCCCAGACCGCAGGCGCCCACTGGAACACGACCATCCCGATGATCAGCCAGAGCAGACCAACGCGGACCCCTCCAGCATAGCTCTGGAGGCGGTGCCCAACCGTGGAGCCCTTGGGGGCCTCGCCGAGGCCGCTGACCATGCTGAGACGGAGCTGGTGCAGAGTGCGCGGGGGAGCCCCCATGATGCTGGGCCCCCACAGGGCCGGCGCCGCGGGCCCCCCCCGTTGGATTGACCCAGTCTTGGCCCCCGCCTCCCTGAGCATAGGTATCTTCTGAGCTCTCAATTTAGCCTTCGCCCACCTGTCTCTGGTTTAATAACCACACTCCGCAAGGTGCCCGCGACCGCGTCGGCGCCTGGGTTCCTGGCGCGCTCGACTCGGATGTCCTTCGGGAGGTCCCAGGGCGGCTGGAGGGCCTCATCCAAGGCCAAGTCGCTAGTCATGTACGTGGACTTGGTCGAGACGGGGAACTCAAGCTCCGAGAAACTGCCGGGCTGCGCACCTGGCGCGATCTGCGGGGCAATCGGGGGCCGCGGACCAAAAATCTGCAGCGCAATATCATCCATAACGTTCCTGATGCTCAACTGGGGCAGGCCAGACTGCGCAGCTCCCAGCGGAGAAAGCTGCAAAAGCGTGGCGGGTGTGGTCGCCGCGAAGCACCCTGTAATCACTGCTCCATTCCCTTGCACCTTCCGCGATAGCCCCCCCCCCCCCCCCATGCTGCAACATCCTCTCTCCTGCATTGACCACGCGCAGTCCTGAGCAGCTTCAAATTGAAACCGCGCTGGCAAGCTGCGCGACACAGGCCGCAGCAGCTAGTATGCTCGTAGAACTTCGAAAGATCCAAAAGTACCGTCGCTGCCGAGGTCCCAAAGACTCTCCCGACATTCGCCGACATGTTGTGGATCCACCCGGCTTTCTCGCACGCAAGTGGGGGTCGCTCCGCAACCCCAGAAGTAGGCCTCCTGATGGGCCTGCCCCCAACGACGGCAGGTCCCTCGACTGCACTTCGACCAAATCTTAGCGAACAGGCACAACAGCCCAATCGGACAGACCTCTCCATCAAGCTTAATCAGGGAGATAATGCGGGCGAGGAACTCCGAGTTTACTCTGGGTATGTCTTCGAACTCGCGCAGCACATCGAGCACTCGCTGCTGATGCTCTTCGAAGGAGGAGGAGATGGTTCGGACGAAACGAATCCGACCCTAGACCTTCTCCCTCCCACTACCTCTTGCACACTCGCCGCAACTGCTCCAAAGTTAACGCTGGGAGCTCCTGGCCCTGCAAATCCCAGTTGCATGGATAATCCTGCCCAGCCCTGCCTTCCTTGAGCCACTGGCCCAACAATCTTTGGATGACCAGTTCGCCAGTCACAGGGGGGCGGCCATGCTCGTCTGAAACACCGAACGGCGAGATGCGATCGGACCGCGACACACTCGAAAACGAATGCGTCGCCTTCCCCCTTTTCTGCACTGAAGCTTTCGCTCAATCCTCCCATTCCAAAAGAGCCCACCTGGCATCATGCCTGCGAAGGCCCTCGACATGCAAGCGCAGGGCGTCAGGGAAGGCCCTCGATGGCGAGATCCCATCCAGAAGGGCCCTCAGTCGACTGTCGCAGGGCACCGTGGACAGCGGCGCGAGCGCGGGGGCCATTCCCCGAAGAGCTGCCTGCCACCCTTGAAAGAGCGCGTGCTCTATGCCCTCGACCCACGCGACCGAGATGGGCAGCCCGACGCGATAGGGCCTCGAAAGACGTCCATCGCGCGGTCCTCTCTGAGAACCCCCCACGCGACCCCATGGCCAAGATGGCCCCGAGGTGCCTCGACCGTCTTCGGCCCAGCGGCGCGCCCACAACACTTCGAAGTGCCAGCGCTTTCTGGACCACGGTGCGCCGCCGGTCAAGACTCCGCTCGGGCGAACCACTCACGGACCGTTGACCCCAAACATCCTGCGGCGCCTTCAGCATCCCCAGACCACTTCCCAGCCCCCTGTAACCTGCGTGGCCCCGCGATGAACCAACCCCAAGGGGAACTGGCCGTACCTGACCTGCTTCGCGATTACCTCGGCGGGGGCCACATCGGAGATCACGAGACCTACGGCACGCGGGGCCAACGTTCAGCCCGAGGGAATGCCTTCGCCTTTCGGACGCACTGCCCAAGACGCCGAGCACTCGCGAAGAAATCGACCCCCCCCCGCCCTCCCCGCCCACCTCCCCCCCGCTTGATCTGGCTGAGCCCCCAGGGCAGGCCCCGATCTGCACGTCGCCATCCCAGCGGAGAGCGCGACGCCCCGCCCCGGACCTCCCGGGCCCACCCTGAACCCTCGAGCCCCCCGGAGGCACAGTTCCAAGCAGCCTGGATAAATCAGAGACACGCCAGGGAGTTCAGAAACTGGCCAAGGGCATTCAAGAGGTCGACGTTCTCCCCAGACAGCCCAATGCCAATGAAAAAGGCAAACTGGAAAAGCCATGGGCCCTCCTGGCAGCCACGCGCTGATTCGTCTGATCGCCGCGCGCGAGATGTGAAGGTCCAATCCGGGTGGCCTTGGCGCGGCAGCAAACGCAAGGACTGCCGAGGTGGCCAGGCCAACGCCGGCCGACGACGGCGTCGGCCCTGGGCCCGTCGAGAGGGCTGGGCTGAGAGAAGGAGAGAGAGAGAGAGAGAGAGAGAGAGAGAGAGAGAGAGAGAGAGAGAGAGAGAGAGAGAGAGAAAGAGAGAGAGAGAGAGAGAGAGAGTGAGAGCGAGAGAAAGAGAGAGCAAGAGAGAGAGAGAGAGAGAGAGAGAGAGAGAGAGAGAGAGAGAGA